ATCACATAGAGATGCAGAACTAGTTGGGGGGATTGAAAAGGCCCGTCACCCAGCACACAGCAAGCCAGGTCTTCTCAACAGAAAAAAAAGCTGCTGCTACAACAGTTGACTGGTAGCATTTCTTAATAAATTAATGGTGAAAGGAATTGGGATGCTTGAAGAAGTGCTATAGCAATAAAGTTGAGGCACTAACTTCCATTTTTTTTTAAATTTGACTTATCCTTAAATAAGAATAGGAGGGTGGGAAATCTTCTCTCCTCTGGAATGACCCCCAAGCCAATTCTTGGAGGGTTGACTCTCAACTCACCAGCGAGCCCCTGTCCCCATCACATAAGACCTCACATTCCAATATTACGTCATTATATATTAGAGTAGAACTATGGCTTACTTTTAAAAATATGTGCTGCAGCACTTAAAGTGGTTCTAAAGACTCAAGGTTTTTTTTACCTTCATGCATACTATACATGAAGGTAAAACACCTTGTGTGTGTAGCATCCCCCCCCCCCCCCCCAACACTTACCTGAGCCCCATCCCAATCCAGCCATGTCCACCAGAGCCTCAGTTCTACAGGGACTCTCACTCCTGATTGGCTGAGGCAGCAGGGGAGCCAGCTGTTGTCAATCAAAGCCAGTGAGCCAATTAGGAGAAGGAGGGGGTGGGGCAGAGTTGTCACTCTCACTTAGGCTGTCCCTGCTTGTACTACAGTGGGAGGGAAAGATGTTGCTGTTGACATTGTCAGCTGATTGTCAAGCCTGTAGCTTGCCAATCAGCACCTGGCCATACATAACACCACATCTAGCATCTGACCACCTTGCTTCCTGAATGGACAGGACTTGTTTAGTCTGTCATACAGGAACCTTTAGGTGTACTTTAAAGCTTTGCCAGCCCTATCCTTGCAATGGTCATGTAGCCCCATTTTTCTTTTCTGGGTCTACCTTAAATTTCGCTGCATGAAAATGCATTTCAAGAAGAAATGCTATTCTTTCCAAGGTGGCTGGTTCACATCTGTGCACTGTGGTTTGGTGTGATTTTAAAGGGAATCTCTAAGGGGCCATTCACACCTACACATGTGCGTTAGCACGCATGTTACAACTCGCACGCCTAGGTGTGAATGGGCTAGACAAAGTGGCAGTTCAGAATGGCAGGAATAAAATAGCGAGATAGGAGAATGACTGAGAATGGGTGAGGGATGATGGATGTCAGTGACAGAGTGACACAAGTAGGCCAAAGGCCAACAACGCCTGTTAAGTAAACCTCTAGCCAAACAGGCTAACAGAACAGGTTTGTAGAGCACACAAATAATCTATACATTGTGCTCATATGACTACTGCACTGATGAGCTGATCCGGATTAAAACGAGATGGAAAGAGGATAATGCCTTTCCGATGACATCATCATTCTTGGGAAACATTTACACATCAAGGGTGCAATGCTTTTATCATGCAGTGGGTGGGGTCCCTGGTCTCTCAGGTGTGATAGAAAGGGACCAGACTGACATGGTTTATGCAAAAGAAGTTCCTATAACAAACAGATACATTTGTTACAGAACCCTTTTCACCCCTATAGTGAAATAATGCCTGTTTATGTTGCCCTGCCTTCTACTGGCCACCAATAAATGGGAGTAATTCTCCCACTGACCACCAGTTTAAGGGGATCTGTATCCCATTGACCACCGATGTAAGAGGGTCTTTATTCTGCTGACTAGCAATGTAAGAGGATGGCCTACCAATAACCATCAACGTATTGGAGTCGGCCTCCTACTGGCCACCAATAATTGGGAGTCCTTCTCCCACTGACCACCAATGCAAGGGAGTCCTTCTACCACTGAAAATGGGTCTTTTTTCCATTTACCAGCAATGTATGGAGGTCCACATCCCACTGACCAACACTATAATTAGGTACTTTACCCACCCCAGGGAAGACGGATGTCAGTGACAGAGTGACACAAGTAGGCCAAAGGCCAACAACGCCTGTTGAGTAAACCTCTAGCCAAACAGGCTAACAGAACAGGTTTGTAGAGCACACAAATAATCTATACATTGTGCTCATATGACTACTGCACTGATGTGCTGATCCAGATTAAAACGAGATGGAAAGGGGATAATGCCTTTCCTTTGACATCATCATTCTTAGGAAACATTTACACGTCAAGGGTGCCACGCTTTTGTCATGCAGTGGGTGGGGTCCCTGGTCTCTCAGGTGTGATAGAAAGGGACCAGACTGACATGGTTTATGCAAAAGAAGTTCCTATAACAAACAGATACATTTGTTACAGAACCCTTTTCACCCCTATAGTTGAATAATGCCTGTTTATGTTGCCCTGCCTTCTACTGGCCACCAATAAATGGGAGTACTTCTCCCACTGACCACCAATTTAAGGGGATCTTTATCCCATTGGCCACCAATGTAAGAGGGTCTTCATTCTGCTGACTAGCAATGTAAGAGGATGGCCTACCAATAACCATCAACGTATTGAAGCCAGCCTCCTACTGGCCACCAATAATTGGGAGTCCTTCTCCCACTGACCACCAATGCAAGGGAGTCCTTCTACCACTGAAAATGGGTCTTTTTTCCATTTACCAGCAATGTATGGAGGTCCACATCCCACTGACCAACACTATAATTAGGTACTTTACCCACCCCTGGGAAGACGGATGTCAGTGACAGAGTGACACAAGTAGGCCAAAGGCCAACAACGCCTGTTGAGTAAACCTCTAGCCAAACAGGCTAACAGAACAGGTTTGTAGAGCACACAAATAATCTATACATTGTGCTCATATGACTACTGCACTGATGAGCTGATCCGGATTAAAACGAGATGGAAAGGGGATAATGCCTTTCCTTTGACATCATCATTCTTGGGAAACATTTACACATCAAGGGTGCAACGCATTTGTCATGCAGTGGGTGGGGTCCCTGGTCTCTCAGGTGTGATAGAAAGGGACCAGACTGACATGGTTTATGCAACAGAAGTTTCTATAACAAACAGATACATTTGTCACAGAACCCTTTTCACCCCTATAGTGGAATAATGCCTGTTTATGTTGTACATCACTGCATGCGTTTACAAGTGTTTATGCATGCTTTAAACACATTATTGTTCATTTTTGTTCAAGAATGAGAAACATTCAGTAGAGAGATTTTCCATGGTACAGACATGTATAGAATACAAAAAGACTACCTGATCACTTACTATTTTTTGCAATTGGCCCGCTTAATGTGTGTAAGTCAGTGTTTCTCAACTCCAGTCCTCATGGACCCCCAACAGGTCATGTTTTCAGGATTTCCATTATTTTGCACAGGTGATTTGATCAGTTTCACTGCCTTAGTAATTACCACAGCTGTTTCATCTGAGGGAAATCCTGAAAACATGACCTGTTGGGGGTCCATGAGGACTGGAGTTGAGAAACACTGGTGTAAGTGCATGTCAGTGTTGAATGACCTCATTATAGAACAGTAATAACCAGCAGCAAAGAGATGTGAACTGGCAGCACAGAGGCTAAATGGTTAGCACTTCCACCTGCCAGTACTGGGGACGCTGGTTCGAATCCCAACCACAGCATCACCTGCCTGGAATTTGCATGTTTTCCCTGTGCCTGCGTGGGTTTCCTCCGGGTACTCCAGTTTTCTCCCACACTCCAAAGACATGCTAGTAGGTGAATTAGATCCTGTCTAAATTTGCCCTAATATGTGTATGTATGAATGAATGTAAATTAGGGACCTTAGATTGTATGCCCTTTGAGGGTTAGGGACTGATGTGAATGTACAATATATATGTAAAATGCTGTGTAAATTGATGGTGCTATATACGTAAGTACCTGAAATAAATAAACTGACCACACAACAAAGAGGATTGCTGTTAACTGGTGTCAGGGTCCTGCATGGCTCTACTTATACCTACTTGGATGCCCCCATTAAATTGAAGCAGCCTGGCAAATTGATCACCTGCCAAATAGTGCCTGCATAGATCAGAATTGCATGCCTTGGGAGCCTCAGGAGCATTATTGGTGTCTCATGCTCTTGTCTGCTTCACCACAGGAAATAAATCAGTGATACATGTGATTTTAAGAGGCAACATCATTGTAAAGGGGTCCTTATCTCACTAACCACCAACATATGGAAGCCTGCCTTCTACTGGCCACCAATAAATGGGAGTACTTCTCCCACTGACCACCAATTTAAGGGGATCTTTATCCCATTGGCCACTGATGTAAGAGGGTCTTTATTCTGCTGACTAGCAATGTAAAGGGATGGCCTACCACTAACCATCAACGTATTGGAGCCTGCCTCCTATTGGCCACCAATAATTCGGAGTCCTTCTTCCACTGACCACCAATGCAAGGGAGTCCTTCTACCACTGATCGCCAATATAAAGGGGTCTTTTTTCCATTTACCAGCAATGTATGGAAGTCCACATCCCACTTATCAACAATATAATTAGGTACTTTACCCACCCCACGAACCCAATGTAAGGGGGTCCTTCTTGCAATGACCACCAGTGTATGGAGGTCTGCTTCCTGCTGACCACCAATATAAGTGTGTGTGTGTGTGGGGGGGGGGGGGGGGGGTCCTCTCAGGAGCCCTTTTCTACCTACCATCAATGTAAGGTTTTACTTTTCCCACTGACCACCAATGTAAGGGGGCCTGCCAACCACTGAACACTAATGCAAGGAGGAACCGCTCTCATGGACCCATCAATATAAGGGAGCACTACACAGGCTACCAATATGAGGGGGACCTTATCTCACTGGCCACTGATGTATAGTGGTCCTTCTCTTAATGACCACCAATGTAAGGGTGTCCTTCTCTCACTGACCCCAATAACCACAATTATCAAGGGGCCCATCTCCGCTATGGGCCACAAGCAGTCAAACCTTGCCTTACTGACCACCAATGTAAGTGGACTTTTATTATTGGAGGGAACCATTTCTGTCATTAAATATTGATTATACAATTATTATTATTATTATACAGTATTTATATAGCGCCAAAAGGTTTGCTCAGCGCTGTACATTATAGTGGGGGACAGTACATGAGACAATACAGTAACAAGACAATACATGAGGGGTTCGAGGGCCCTGCTCTTTCGAGCTTACAATCTAGGAGGGAGGGGATAGTGGTACAGGAGGAAGTGGCTGTGGGGGATGGAGTGGTAGGAGGAGTGGAGGAGATCGGCTGTTAGGTGAGGGCGGGGTAGGCTTCCTTGAAGAGATGGGTTTTCAGGGTGCGCCTAAAGGCGAGGGTAGGTCACAGTCTGATGGATTGGGGTAGTGAGTTCCAGAGGATGGGGGAAGGCCTGGAGAAGTCCTGCAGTCGGGTGTGGAAGGAGGAGACCAGGGAGCTAGAAAGTAGGAGGTCTTGTGAGGAGCTTTTTGTATATGTTTAAACTGCACCTGTCATAAAACCAATATGTAAGCTATCATTACTATTCTTTTTTTTTTTAATTTAGGATGAGCATCAACAAGGAAAACAATCACAATGGGGTCTTACATACATATGCCAACCAATACACATTTCTTATCCAGTGAGTTCAAGGCAGATTATTCAGATGGACGGACATATGGACATATTTATAAACTGATGATACTGTATACGTTGATTTGCATGACTATGACTAATTATCTAATTCTATCTGTATCTAGAATTGTTATATCTGAAGTTCCATAGTAGCAATAAGGAAAGAATGTATTTCTGCCACATATGTCTCCATTGTTTTCTTCTGTTATTGGGGTAGGAGGTAAGAGAGGAAAGGTGTGCATGGAAGGCAGAAGGTAGGGTACAATGAACTTGGTAAGGTAGACTGCCCTGAAATAAGGGTAGGGGAGGAGGGGTGAAAGATAAAGAAAGGGGAGAGTGGGGGAAATAAAAAAAAAGTGGGGGATAGGTGTATAGTGGAGGGGCTACAAAAGGTCTCCTTTTCCCACCTGCAGTAGAAAGAGAATCCAATGGCCCAAGAATCCAGACCCTTACTGCATTCAGCATGGATACAGTGCCTTGAAAATGCATTCATATCCCTTGACATTTTCCACATTTTGTCATGTTACAGCCAAAAACGTAAATGTATTTTATTGGGATTTTGTGTGATAGACCAACACAAAGTGGCAAATAATTGTGGAAGGAAAATGATAAAATTCAAAATTTTTTACAAATAAATCTGTGAAAAGTGTGGCGGCATTTGTATTCAGCCCCCCGGAGTCAATACTTTGTATAACCACCTTTCACTGCAATTCCAGCTGCGAGTCTTTTTGGGGATGTCTCTACCAGCTTTGCACATCTAGAGAGTGAAATTTTTGCCCATTCTTCTTTGCAAAATAGCCCAAGCTGTCAGATTGGATGGAGAATGTCTGTGAACAGCAAGTTTCAAGTCTTGCCACAAATTCACAATTAGATTTAGGTCTGGACCCTTGGGGGGGGGGGGGGCTCGACATTCATTTATGCTGGTCAGGATGCTGGGTGTTAAAAAAAATGCGGGAGACTGCAGCCATTGGAAGAGGTAAGTATGAGGAATGGGCGGCTTTAGCTAGTTAGTAGGATATGGATGTCGGCTGGAGGGGTTTGATCAGCTATTCTCAACAAGGGTTCCTCCAGGAATAGCTAGGGGTTCCTCTAGGAATAGCTAGGGGTTCCTCTAGGAATAGCTAGGGGTTCCTCCAGGAATAGCTAGGGGTTCCTTGAGCTGTGGCTAACTGACCTCCCATCTGATGGTGCCTGCATAGTTCCATAGGACTCTCAGGATCTTGATTTTTACCAGTAATCCTTCATTTTAGAGAACAGAGGGCTTGTGCTGCATAGGATCCGGCACACCGATTGCCCCTGGGGCCACAAGCAGTCAAACCTCTCCCGTTTGCTTACAGAACATTGTGACATCTTGATCACACATCGAGGTTGTGACAACATCTTGTTACTTTGGTGACTGCGAGGCATCTCTGTGTTACACAAGCAATTATGTTGGTGTGTTTTGTGAACATTGTGCAACCGACCGACGTTCCTGTTTTCTATATTGTATTGCACTAAATTGCCATCTTGGGTATAAATTTAAATAGCAGCGGAGGTAAAGGCTGTATTTTTGGTGTCACGGGGAAAGAAAACTAGTTATTATGTCACTGAGAAGTGTGATGTATATTGTTAGTAAAGCCACATACGCCACAGAAAGAGACTTCGGAAAAGCATACATCGTGTATCATGGTGGCTCACGTCAGGATTTAACCCTGATGGAGCCGGCTTCATACTATAGAACAATGGTTCCATGAATGGGGCGGTCATAATTACATGGCTGCCAACATTTTAAAACCAGTTCAGGCGTTGGATCTCAAACTGCTTTTTATGGAAAAACAAGAAGATGAACTGATTTAAAGCTGAACAGTTAAATGCACAAGACTAGGAACTGCGTCGGCTGGCAAGAGATTCTTTTCAACCAGTTTTGTGAACCAAGAACTCCTTCCAGACAACGCAGCTTGGTCAAAAACAACCCCCCTCCCTTCCCAGCTTGCTGATTGAATGAAGAAAAATATATTGATGAGGTCTGAACCAAATCAGTATATCTTGGTGTCATCAGACCACAGGACATGGTTCCAGTAATCCATGTCCTTAGTCTGCTTGTCTTCAGCGAACTGTTTGTGGACTTTCTTGTGCATCATCTTTAGAAGAGTCTTCCTTCTGGGACGACAGCCATACAGACCAATTTGATGCAGTGCGCGGCGTACAGTCTGAGCAATGACAGGCTGACCCCCCACCCCTTCACCCTCATACGTCTATTTCCCAAAGACAACCTCTGGATATGACACTGAGCATGTGCACTCAACTTCTTTGGTCGTCCATGGCGAGGCCTGTTCGAAGTGGAATCTGTCCTGTTAAACAGCTGTATGGCCTTGGCCACCGTGGTGCAGCTCAGTTTCAGATTCTTGTCAATCTTCTTATAGCCTAGGCCATCTTTATGTAGAGCAACTATTCTTTTTTTCAGATCCTCAGAGAGTTCTTTGCCATGAGGTGCTATGCTGAACTTCCAGTGACCAGTATGAGAGAGTGAGAGCGATAACACCAAATTTAACACACCTGCTCCCCATTCACACCTGAGACCTTGTAACACTAAAGAATCACATGACACCGGGGAGGGAAAATGGCTAATTGGGCCCAATTTGGACCTTGTCACTTAGGGGTGGACTCACTTTTGTTGCCAGCGGTTTAGACATTAATAGCTGTGTGTTGAGTTATTTTGAGGGGACAGATAATTTACATGTTATACAGGCTGTACGCTGACTACGTCACATTGTAGCAAAGTGTCATTTCTTCAGTGTTGTCACCTGAAAAGATACAATCAAATATTTACAAAAATGTGAGGGGTGGACTCACTTCTGGGGGATACTGTATTTACTGTAGCCTGTATGCAGGTCTGCCAGAAAATATCACGGGGCACCATACAGCCTACTTGACCACAAAGCATTGGTGGTCAGTAGTATTTCTACCCCCTTCCTGAAAAGCATTGGTGGTCAGTAGAATTTCTACCCCCTTCCTGAAAAGCATTTGTTGATCAGTAGTAATTCTATGCCCCTTCCCAAAAAGCATTGGTGGTCAGTGATATTTCTTTCCCTCCTTCTGAAAATCATTGCTGGCTAGTAGTATTTCTCTGCTCCCCCTTTGAAAAGCATTGGTGGTCAGTAGTATTTCTCTGCTCCCTCCCTTGAAAGCATTGGTGGTCAGTGGTATTTATTTGTTCCCCCTTTGAAAAGCATTGGTCAGTAGTATTTCTAACCCCCTTCCTGAAAAGCATTGGTGGTCAGTACTATTTCTACCCCCTTCCTGAAAAGCATTGGTGGTCAGTAGTATTTCTATGCCCTGTCCCAAATAGCTTCGGTGGTCAATGGCATTTCAACCCCTCCATTCCCAAAAAGCATTGGCGGTCAGTGGTATTTATTTCCCTCCTTCTGAAAATCATTGCTGGCTAGTAGTATTTCTCTGCTCCCTCCCTTGAAAGCATTGGTGGTCAGTGGTATTTCTCTGCTCCCCCTTTGAAAAGCATTGGTGGTCAGTGGATTTTCTGTGTTCCCCTTTTGAAAAGCATTGGTGGTCAGTGTTTTTTCTCTGCTCCCCCTTTGAAAAGCATTGGTGGTCAGTGGTATTTCTCTGCTCCCTCCCTTGAAAATCATTGGTGGTTAGTGGTATTGCTGTGCTGTCAGTAGTATTTTTCTGCTCCCTCTCTTGAGAAGCATTGGTGCTCAGGGATATTTTCCTCACTGGAGGTCAGTGGTTCCCCCCCCCACACCAAGAAGCATTGGTGGTTGGTGGTATTTCTCTCCCCCCCACCCCTCTTAATGAGCAGTTACCCTTTGCAGTGCGGGGTATAACATTTCTCTTTACTGAGACATCAGATGTCTTTTAGACCCCTGATGTCTCATCTGCCCTCAATTGAAGCTAAAGTGCAGATCCCACTCTATTATCTTCTTCCCTGGCCACAGCAGCCTGGGAGAATGACACCTGAAACCGGAAGTGTCGTTATACACGTTGCTTCTGGATACTTTGCAGCTAGGGGAAATCAATGTATTGGCGTTCGCTGGTCTCCTTCCCCTCTACCTGGTGACACCTGCCATGGAGGACCTGGGCAGCCAGAAGTGTGTGTAAAACCTCCCACTGCCACCGACGTATGACATATGACAGCGGCAGTAAAAGGGTGAATGAAGCATTCATACAAAGTAAACATGCAACCAACATACACCATCTGTTTGTGGAGGCCCTGAAGAAGCAATTGATGTGCCGTGAAATGCGTAGACCCGTAATTTCATGTAATTAGACTGTATTGAATGAAATATCACTCCAGCTATGCCATCAATATCGAAATATCAGTCAAGCCATTTTATATATATACATACATATACACACACACACACATATATATATATATATATATATACATATATACACACACACATATAGATACATATACACACACACACACATATATATATATATATATATATATATATATATATATACATATAACATATATACATACAGGTGAAAATTGAAAAATTTGAATATCGTGCAAAAGTTCATTTATTTCAGTAATGCAACTTAAAAGGTGAAACTAATATATGAGATAGAGTCATTACATGCAAAGCAAGATAGTTCAAGCCGTGATTTGTCATCATTGTGATGATTATGGCTTACAGCTCATGAAAACCCCAAATCCACAATCTCAGAAAATGAGGAGAATATTGTGAAAAGATGCAA